GTTTTGGAACCTACAATATTGTTCTCATTAAGGCCCATAAATTAAAATGTACTGGTATATTTGTAGGTTAAGGTGCAAAAATTAAATTTTCCTTTTTTTCTGTATGTTTTGAAATTCAATGAGGCCGTACTGTCATCATAAATTTTTGTCGACAAACACAATTGAAACAAACTAAATTGCGGAATTTGTCCGAAAAAGGCACTGCAACCCACCATTGGGTCGTGCCGCACTCTACATTCAGAGGAAACTTGGTAATTGGTTTAAAAGTAGCAGACACGTGAGTTTCCATTTTTATTCTTGAATGAAAATAATTGTGTATAATTTGGTAACTATTCAGTAATCAAAGTTATGGAACGGTGAATGCATAGGAGATTTATTTCTATTCAATTGAGTAAAAATAAACAGTAAATTTTACGACACACTAGCAACAAAGCATCGAATTTCTAATCGTGGGTTTGCGTATCTGGCCGAAAAAATAATCGTTAAAAGCGTATAATGTCTTTTGCATAGTTCCAGTACATTTGATCCTCGCAAAGCTAGTAAAGGCAAGGTTTTGTGGTTGAATTATTTTAAAAGATGAAAGTAAAGATGGGGCACATAAAAACAAGCGTGTAGAGTTCGACTGGAAAAACAGTGAAGATCGAAATTTAATTAACGTTAATTAAATTGAATTAATCTCCGAAGAAATTGGATTGTTTGATAATTATTTGCATTTACAAATAAAAATTGACTGCTTTCTGAAGAATATGGTGCTATTAGCAAATTTTACTATAGGCAATTTTTTAATTAGAGTTACTGGCAAATGTGGTACATTCGAGCTACTTCATTGCAAATTCAGTTTAAGAAACTCACAGACTTAAAATTTATCGGTCGATTAGTTAGTTAATCTTCCGAACGTTGAAGTCTGTAAATATTGTTTTCTATAACCTTATGACCGTATGATGAGTTTACCATTTCGTAGTCCACGGTCACGCCTTTGCATTCCTCCGTCTCCATCTCCAATCCGTCGATAGTCAAGTAACCCTGCCCTCGGGTCCCGGACAAAATGTTGAACGTGTTCCGTCTATTTGCCCTACATTGGGCCACCTGATGCAAGATGCTGTTGCTTGTGCCTTGACGAGGGTAGTTTCCCATAACTGGACTATTCGGGATCTTTCTCTACCACTTGTCCAATCGTCTCTCGAATGTCGCAAGGGTAAACTACCCTCTTCCCTACACATTTGACGAGGCTTTAATTAAACAGTTTCGGTCCTGCCACGTACAGTGATCCCTCACGAAGAGTCTGTACGCTGGCCGCGGCACGGTTATTGAATGGGGGAATTCTGCAGTCTCCCACTCCTTTCGTTGTAATATGCCACTATTTTGGAGGTCTCAATTTCAAGGTTGGGAGCTAGTCCGGTTATCTTCTGCCAAGTGTACAATATGATGTACATCTCTCTTTTCCTCTCCAGTGAATGCAGTCCCAGGTGTTTCAGCCTGTCCCAGTAATTCAGCTTCTGTTCCCTCATACCGCTAATCCTGGACGTGAAGGTCTGCTGGACTGACTCTGGTTTCCACACCGCTCCCGCCTAGAGCGGCGCCCAAAGCTGGCAGCGGTACTTAAGATTGGGGAACACGAGGGCTCTGAAGAGTGTTATCATTTGCGCTGCTTCTTTCGTTCGAAATGTCCGCCAGATCCAACCCATCCGTTATCTGTTTTGCGCGACATTTCCTCGATGTTGTCATCGAATGTGGCTTCTGTAATCATCAACACTCCGAGATGTCAAGCAAGTTTCTTCTCAATTTCTGTGCCATCTGATGCCAAGCAGCGATGTAGCATCCCTGTCTCTGCGTCGAATCTGTATCTCATTGCTTCGAACTTAGTGTCAATAAATTGTATTTTATTCTCTAGGGCCCAATCGTAGATTGACGGCAAGTCATCCTGCAACCTCTTGCAGTCTTGGTTCTCTGTGATCCTCATCAGCACTCTTGTATCGTAGGCAAATGACGTAGATGCGTGCTTAAGCTCCGAGTCAATTTCGGCAATGTGGATGAGGAAGAGGATCGGTTCTATCACCGAGCCCTGTTGTACTCCGCTTTTCACTCTAGCGACTCCCGATTTCGAGTTTCCAATTGCGACAGCTGGTACTCTATTTGTAAGAAAATTGTGGATCCACCCTAACAGGCTTCTCCAACCCCCAACAGCCTCAGCTTTGTGAAGAGCACCTAACGGTCAACTTTGTCAAAAGCTTCAGTAAAGTCCAGGTATACTATGTCCACGCCAGCTTCCTCCTCAAGTAGGGCCACAAGGCGATGATGGTGCTCCAATAACTGTGACAAACAAGAACAATTTGGCGGGAAACGATGCTGTCCATTATTATACAGTTTAGATTCTTCCATATACTGGACAGGTCTCCTGGCCACTAACTTCTCAAAAACCTTGATCGCCTGTGAGGCCAAGGTCACTGTTCTGCAATTTTGAGGTCTGTGCCTCGGGAATTCTTCGGGGATTGGAGTTATCAGTCCCACTTTGAGGCCCTCGGGAATAATTCCCTCCTTCATCGAGGCTTTCCAGAGCATTGTGAGCGGAGCCTTCAGTGATCCAACACACTTCTTCAACAGCACTGCCAGAATTCCATCCGGTCCTGGTGCTGAAAACGTCGCCCGTTATTTGATACTTATTTCCATATCTTCTGGTACAAGCTCGATGTTCTCCAACCCTCTTCCACCTGGCAGCTCCTGGAGAATTTCGATGTTCTCAAGGTCTTGAGTAGCGGAGTACTGAACACTGATTCAAACTGCGATCCTAGTAACTCACACATGCCCTGGTCATCTCTCATACAATGACATCGTTATCCTTCAGCGGGCCCACTGGCGTCTTTATTTTAGCTTTGGACTGGGCGAATTTGAAAAAAATACTTGGGGTTCTCTCTGATGACCTCAACTACTCGTTCCTCGGCAGCTTGTTCTTCCATCCTGTTCGAGTCCTGCAACCTGCGTTCAGTTTCCTTGTGTAGCTCTACCAGTCTCTGTCTCATCAGGGCACCAGTGGATTCAGCTATCTGTTTCGTTTAATCGCTTGCGTTTCCTCGTGGGGATTCGACGGTACCCGGAATGCTGCGGACTTAGGGGTCCGATTTTCTCGGGATAAGACGTACACACCTGTGCTAGTTTCTCACATAATTTTGTGTAAATTTCCTCTGCATTCATTTCGTAAAACTCTTCTCTCCAATCAGTTTCGTTAGGTTCATTCCAAATTGCCTCCCAATCAGTTCGGTATATCAGTTCCAATTGTCGTATCCACCATCACCAGGCGGTGGTCGGACAGTGAAGTTTCTTCAACTCGAACGTCAACCAACATTCTTTCATTGTTAGTAAAAAAGAGATCGAGGATATTGTGTTCCCTTGTCAGCAGCCGAACAGGCTAACTGAGAAAATGCTCCGCAGCCAACTTTACTAGTTTGGCTTCTTGACTTCTGTCGCAGTCGTTAGCCTCTGAGCAGGCGGGGCTTGTACAAAGGATACGTGGAAGATTGAAGTCCCCCCTCCTTTTAACAGGCTGGGTCACCCAGTCTTGCCACCATGGTCTCTATTTACTTTAGGGTTTTGTTAAAATTTTCTGCTGGACAAGCAGGGGGGGGGGGGCAATGACAGTGGTTACGCAGATGTCGAATTCTTTTGTGTGGAGTAGCACGTATTTAACAAAGCCATCAAAGTTACCATATTCCGATCTCAATTTCACCGTGCTCTTCGCGAGGGAGTTCCTAAGGTAAAGAAATACTCATGCATACTTCCTCCCTTCTTTCCGGTCCGCACGTTAGTGTTGGAATCCTTCCATTGCAAATTTTGCATCAAGGATATCTTTTCTTAGATGCGACTCCTTTGGTGCAATCATAAATATCCTACCCTCGTCGGCCATCTCTCTCAGCATGTCAATCTGACGCTCTCTTTTGTAGGAAGTATGTCAATTTGACGCTCTCTTTGTAGGAAGAGCCCCTCGATTTTGGTAAGCAGAATGCCAGACTATCCCCTTCTTGGTACGCTTACCTACAGCGACACTGCTCTGTCAGGTGTCCCTAGGTCATTATCTCCTTCATTTGGAGTTGCACTATTTCCAGTTGCAGCATGTGTTGTTGCATTTGCTTCCTAATCTCTAAAAAAGTTCTGAGGGTAAACTCTTGCCCCACGCGCGCGTCTGTCACATACGCATGGGCCACTCACTTGAGTAGCTAGGTCATCACTCCTCCAAAAACTACCGTATTCACCGTTCCTTCTAACAGTGTGTTCCGCCACCATATCGCTGCCTTGTCTTCCCTGTGATGGTAGGGCCTGTGAGTGTGTGGGTGGGTCATAGCGTCCAGCAGGAGCCCTTCTTTGCGGAGGTAAATCCTTGCTGCCTCCTCTTCTGTCGGCTTGCTCCATTCGTTTCCGTGGTTTTATTTTAAGAAACGAACAGTTGTAATTTGTGCAGTCCTCTTTTTTCATAACACTCCAGCATAGCTTAGGGTGACAGAACGTGCAGTGCTTTCCTTTTTTGCACCCTCGCGGATGCCCTCTTCCGTAGGTACAGAATTTATAGCACAGTCTGGGATGTGAGGATCTGCAACCATCGCCTTTTCTGACTTGTATACATTTATTTTGCAGATACTTCCAGCAAATACCTTTCCTTGCTGGTGACCTGCTTGAGGGTACTTCTGCAACTTGGGTGCATGGTAGGGGTGGTAAGGTTGGAAGAATTGGAAGGGATGATGGCAAATCATCTTCAGGGTCTCTCTATTCGGGGGTTTGGTCGGTGGCCGAAGCGTAGGTGGTTGAGATCAGAGGAAAGGCGGCAGGGTGAGATGTTGGGGCACTGAAAGGGCTGACGGCAAGAGTAAGGGTACCCACACAGTTAAAGCAGGTTTGCCCGTGCGGGCAACCTGCCACAATAATGAACATAGGATTATAATGTAAGTGTTCACAGTGAAAACCTGTACGAATGGGCCAGCGCCAGGCCTATTTATTTCAATTTCAGGTGCCAGCCTCAGCAGTAACCAGCACGCTGGCAACCTGCTTTCACTGTGTGGGTACTCTAAGGCTGGCGGTAGAGGTAGGTTTGGAAGTGAGGGAAGAGGTGGGAGAGGGGGTAGTGGGCGAGGCAAGAGTACAGTTCGCTGCAAGGGAAGAGGAGGTGGCAATCGAAAGATGTGGCCAGCACCACCGGGCACGCACCCATCAGTTTAGGTTTTTCTTCCATGGCTGCGATAAGCTTAGTTTCGCTTTCTTTGAAACTTTCACAAATGCTCACCACGCAGTTCTTACATTCATAGGAGACTCTGGTCTGGTCGAGCCGAACAAGGCAATAAATAGGTAATTCTGTACATTTTAGATGAATGAATAATGCATTTGCTGCTCTGTAGTAAAAGTGCCGCATTGAAAAGCTCCTTGAAAATTATGAACGAACTACCCATAGGGAGTTGCATCACAACATATTTAGCCATCTTACCTTGTTTTTCTCATTATACTATTGCACTGGATATTTTACACTATAACACTGAATATCACTGAATTACAATGAGCTCATACACTGACCGCAAAACTTTGAGCTCGAAACGCTGGGCTCACATACCGCGCTGTAGTGTCGACTGGAAATCATGAATATCTTCAGTTCGAGCACACTTGCAGCTTCCCTCACTTACTACAGCTTAACTCTCTTATTTGTTTCACTGATTCAATTTAAACACCTGACACTTAATGTAAACGTTTCACTGCTTCACGTATTGAATGCTATAATTTCATTGTACAGAGCTGTTTTTGCCAAGTATTTTTATAAATAAAGGAGTAATTTTCTGAACACTTTTACACTGAACAATTGTACTATTTTTTACTGACTTCCCTTCTTTTCCGCCGAAACACTGAATTGCTTCACTTGAAGGCAAGCTGTACAATTAAAAACTAGCCAACAAAAAAAATGAACGTCAACGATTTACTTCAGTTCGAGCCAACCGCGGCACGTCCTGTCCCGGCCGCGTCTACAAGGGAAGTCCCAAGTTAATTGATATTCAGTTAAATTTTTCCATAATCTTCTTTGATTAGATCTGCCCCTCTTTCCCCTATCATGACCACCGGGGCGTTCGGGTTGCCTGTAAGAAAAGAAATGCATTACTGATCCATACTTTGGTGAGTAGTGAAATTAACTCGAATGTGACAATAATATATCTTTCCGATCACAATTAAAATATCAGTGACCTATTCATAAGATGGCTTAGAGGAGCTATGTATTTGTGAAGGGCCAGATCTATACCACTCACGTTAAACTAAAGCTCACATTGCTTTCCGTCGTTGTCTAACCTTGAACTAGTTATCTCTAAAGTCAGATCACAAACGTTACTCGCTTCAAAAACAGCGAGCGGTCCTCGTTGACCGGTAAAAAGCTAACATTTGACAACCATTTACCATCAAGGTTCTGAATCGCTCATGAACACTGGAAATGAGCATTGAATTATAAAATATAATAATAAAAATCGCTCTTCATAGATACATGAGGTAACTCTTGTTCGCGCTACGAACTATCAGCCGCCCTTTAATCACGAAGATTGACATACTCTCCTTAAAATTTTCACTTCGTAAAGCATTTTCAACGAGAAGTATCTACAAGCTAGCTGGTATAACATCGTCAGGTCCGCCTTTTCGTTGAAATGGAAAATTAAAGGGCGCCGATGTCTATGAACCATGAACCGAGCGAGTTCGCAAACAGCTGCAAAATTAATATTCTGAATTTCCATTGCAATGATTAATGTCGTCCATAGTTTACGAGTTAACGTGCGAAGATTGGTAATAAATAATTCGAATTGTCATGGCTAAATTCTTCCGGTTTCTTCATTAAGACTGGAGATCTAACTCACCTTTAAGGAATTTGTCGCAAAAAATGGAATTTGTTAATAGTTAAAAATTTAAAAGCAAAGAATAGTCTACAAAAATTCATATCTTTATAGAAAACGTTTCGCTACATATCTTTATAGAAAACTTCCAGCTCCATCGTCAGTTCGCAGAATCTAGAATTTACATAGAAAGTCACAAGTTAATAAAATTGAAAGCACAGAACACAATTAAGAACCTAAATTTATAAGTACTAGGGCACAAAAAACCTATCTATTCACAATTTCAAGTTGATAGGAGTAACAGCTGAATTTAAACTGGGCCTAAGTTTAAACATGTACAATGCTTCTAAAATACGCAAATCTGATGTACAGGAGGTGGAAACTTACACCCTAAAGTCACTGTCAGAAACAGGGACATCACACTGTTCGGCATGAGTGCGCACAGCCGAATGAGGAGGGCGCGATAGCAACGGTCCGGTCCTACAACTCCTCCCCTTATGCTCAGCGACGCTGGAATAAAGATTGCGTGACGTCATCCCGACGTACGAAGATGTACATCGTGCAAAACGAAATTGATAAACCAGGGACTATCGCATATGAACAGGGAGGGAGCATATCTTTATATCTAAGGAAGAACCGATTTTGAAACTGTTTACCGGAACAAATGAAGTTTGACGTTTGGAAAGTATCTATTGAACAAGAAAGACTTTTAGTGCTCTTGACATAGCTTCGGTCGCAGGGCCGAAGTATGGAAAAGAACAATAAATAACTTTCCTACTATCGCGCTCGGGAGCTAGCTCACTGAATCGCTTCGACATGAATTTCTTGCTTTGGGTATACACCAAACTTGCCGGAAATCCATTAAGCGAGATATTATTTCATAAAAATTATAAATCAGCGTGCATAGCATGGTATGTTGAACAAATGTGAAAACCTCTATATAATAATATTGAAGCCCATTTAACTTGAACCGGAATGAACAAAAACTAAAGAAACTTGTATACTGAAGTCTATTGCCTAAACATTCACGAATGTTAGCCCTGGAAATATTAGATAGGACGTTTTCTATTGTACACTAAAAGCTAAGCCTCGTCTTCGCCGACCTGTCAGTCTCCTGCAAACCTGCCTTGAATAAACTTGCTTTCTCTGCCATGGTCTCTGCTTGTACTACCAGTGTCGTACGGGATTTAGTCTCGTACGGGATTTAGTCAGCGCCGTAATTAAGGATATTACAAAACTGGTATTTAGACCGGTGAATGTCGGTTTTCGGAACACAGAAGTCAAAAAACGGCCATTTGATTTCTTAATATTGCAACCGAGGAAGGACAAACTATTGTTAAATTCAAGCTCCATGGTATATGTGATAGAATTATGTTGCGAGTTAAGGTAATCAAAGAATGGTTTTAAATGGGAGTGATGTTTGGAAATTTGAAAGGTGTCATCGAAGCATCTGTTATAGAATATTGGCCTAAAATCAAGAGGACAATTGGCCAGCCAAGAAACCTCGTGAAAACATATAAAAATATCTGCAAAGATCTGGCCAAGCGGTAGTCCCATGCCTAAACCGTCAATCTGTCTATAAAACTTGCCAGAAAATATGAAAAACTGATAGTTAAAAACTGATAATTCTAAAAGAGGTTTGAAAATTTACGGTTAAAACCAAACACAAGATCATTAATGTTTTTGAAAAGAGAATTGAGACAAATTTCAATTGTTTCGTGAAGGGGTACATTGGTAAACAAATTTTCTACGTCAAATGCGATCATACTAGAATCCTGAACGTCAGTAAAATGTTTCAAGCGATCCACAAACATAAAAGAATTATCAACGGTATACTGATTAGTCGTAAGACAATTAAAACCAGTACCAGAAATTTAGCAAGTTTAAAACTTGGAGTATTATACGCAGAAAAAATTGGTCGAAATTGAAACTTAGAAGAAAAATCCGACTTGTGATGTGTGACCTCGTGAAAATGTGTTTCACGAGGTTTCTTGGCTGGCCAATTGTCCTCTTGATTTTGAGCCAATATTCTATTATAGATACGTCGATGACACCTTTTTAATTTTCAAACATCCCTCCCGTTTCAAACCTCTCTTTGATTACCTAAACTCGCAACATAATTCTATCACATTTAACATGGAGCTTGAATCTAACAATAGTTTGTCCTTCCTCGATTGCAATATTACAATATCTAATGGCCGTTTTTTGACTTAAATACCAGTTTCTTTAATTTTTGTTCATTTCGGTACAAGTTAAATGGGCTTCAAACATTAATATACAGTGGTTTTCTAATTTGTTCAACATACCATGCTATGCAAGCTGAATTTGAATTTTTACGAAATATTTTCTGGCTTAATTGATTTCCGGCAAGTTTGGTGCATACCCAAATCAAGAAATTCATTTCGAAGCGATTCAGTGCATGAGGTTGCTCCCGAGCGCAATAGTAGGAACGTTATTTATTGTTCTTTTCCATACTTCGGCTCTGCGTCCGAAGCTATGTCAAGAGCATTAAAATTCTTGTTCAATAGATACTTTCCAAACGCTAAACTTTCCAAACGAACATATTGTTCAAACAGAACATATTGTTCTGGTAAACAGTTTCAAAATCGGTTCTTTCCTTAGATATAAAGATATGCTCCCTGTTCATATGCGATCGTCCCTGGTTTATCAATTTCGTTGTGCACGATGTGCATCTGCGTGCGTCGGGATAACGTCACGCAACCTTTATTCCAGGGTCGCTGATCATAAGGGCAGGAGTTGTAGGACCGAACCGTTGCTATCGCGCCCTTCTCATTGGGCTGTGCGCACTCACGCCGAGCAGTGTGATGCCCCCGTTTCTGACAGTGACTTTAGGGTGTTAGCTTCCACCTCCGGTACTTCAGATTTGCGTATTTTAGAATCATTGTGAATTTTTAAACTTAGGCCCAGTTTAAATTCAGCTGTTTGCTCCTATCCCCTTGAAATTGTGAATAGATAGGTTTTTGTTCTCTATTACTTGTAAATTTATATTTTTAATTTTAATTGTGTTCTGTGCTTTCAATTGTATTAACTTGTAACTTTCTATATAAATTCTACATTCTATGAATATGAACTGACGATGGAGCTGGACTCCAAAACGTTCTCTATAGAGATATGAATTTTTGTGGACTAATCTTTGCTTTTAAATTTTCAGTTAACTTGCGATTTTAGCAAATAAGTGCCCTCAATTATTTAATAATAGTTTTACAACCTCAATTACGCCTTAAAATCTATTTTTATCCATATATCAGATCCAAACAAAAATACATTTGAGGCAACTAATTTTTTCAAACAATTACGCTGCCCGAAATGTCATAAATAATAATACCTCTAAAATTTGATTGGATTGATGCGTGAAAATGCGGTTTTAAAAATATATGACGTATGAGTTATAATTTAATACAAAAATTGAATTACTCTATTCGAAATAAACACATTAATTTCTCTCACCGGAAACTATTTGAGGCATGATTGACGCGTCCATGACGCGTAAATTCCTGACACCTCGCACGCTGGAAAAAAATGCAAATTTTGAAGTAGAATTTTCTTGATGATTAAAAAATATGATTCACATACAATGCCTACCTACATGAACCTAAAAATCTTAGTTATTTTCATTTAGTTAATTCTTTTTAAAATGAAATTAAGAACTAATTTCATGTGAACCAGCTTCAAAAAGTTACCGAAATAATGAGGTTGCGCATATGGAAGATACGTCAAAAATTTTTACTCGCTTTCAGCAACATAGCACTATTTTAGACTAATATTATTTTATTAGCTCTAAGTAAGAAAGTGCAAAGTCTCACATGAGCCGCGACGTAACCACCCCCATGGGGTCGGAGTCTGGAGCCATCTTGCAGGTGCCGCTGATGTGCAACATCACACCCGTCATGCCGCGCACGAAACATCTCCAGTAGTCGTCGGACTGGAACTCAAGATGCGCGCAGCCAGGAATTGGCTGCTCGCAAACAACCAAATTCATTTGACGCATATTGTAAATGTGACCTTACATTTGAGATACATTGGTGTTCCATCTAAGGCGGGTTCACACCATACTGCCGGGCACGTACCAGGCACATGACATTCACGGTTGAGTCCAATATTCTTTACTGCATTTCTATAGCAGCATTCACGCCATGGGCATGGCAGGTGCTTTGCACTGCTGGTGTGAATGCTTCTATAGGAATACATTATACAATATTGGATTGGACCTTCTCTGGCAAATGCATGGCATGTGCCTGATATTAAGGTGTAAACCCGGCATAAGGGTCTGAGTTGGGAATCGACCCAGGAAAGTCATCGAATAGATATTCTTTGTTAAAGATCACTAAATAGATTTTGATAGAGACAAATTTCTTAAGTTGAACAGAATTAATTTTTATATACCGCGAGGGGGTGCACCAATGTCAACCGGCTATGTACTGCAAAAAGCGCGATTATGATTAATTTTGAATTTTTATTTTACCCATCCGAAAAAATTACTCATATTCAATCTGTAGAATTTCCGATACTCAACCAGTCACGAATATTTTGATGCATTATAATTGAATTTATTATAAATCGGTTGGCTGTGAGCATTTCAGGTTGGACTGATAACTATAGGCGCTCAATGTGCAATTGAACACGAGCATACGTATTTCTGAAACGAAGGCGTTCAGAAGAAAAAAATTTACAACTTAAATAAGAGTTTAGATAATTAGATTAGCTTATGAAAAAATCTTGCACGTGTAAAACATAGAATATACATCATACGACCACAATTTTATTCAATAAGTTGAGAAGGAAAATTACTTGTCAATTATTATTATTATGGTTAATAAATTTCTCATAAATCTTAAGCAACTGTGAGGGAAAATATAAGATAATATTTCCTGCTAACAATTTGAACGCCGATTATTGTGCTGCTCACTTTTTTGAGAGGTTCAGCTCCGAGCGCCCTACGGAAGATCTTGGCATTCCCTAACTTCAGTGAAGCCTTAGCAGCTGCGAATACAAAGTAAAGATTCTTTCACACAAAGTCAACATTAATATAATCCATAAAATAAAGAAGATAACATCAGTAAGTAGTTAATACCGATGTCAAACATAATATAATATTTTGCTTTCATTTTCAGTGTATATTTTTCAGATGAAATTCTTTTGGCTGAAATATAGCCTCTCAATATTGTAAAATTGGCAGGAGATTAAAGAAACGATTTATATATTTATCAGCGTTTGCTGACTCTAAGCCACAGTTTACTTTTAAATGAAACTGTTAGTGAAATTCAAAAAATACCAGTCCATATTCTTCCCGTGTACCTTTGACCATAAGCTCGACGTCGTCGGGGTGACTGAGTGAATTGTCGTCCAGGACGGGCGGGTCGAAGGGGTTCCTAGACTTGAGGGTCACCGTCCCGACGCTCTTCGGTCTGGACAGCATCGGAAGCATGATGAAACCATCTCTACCCAGCGTCGGTCGATAATATTCTCGGACCTGGACAGTATAAAGTAAAACGTACTAAAACATCAGCAATAAAAATTAATTTTAGAGAAAATAAGCATGAAAAGGAGTAGTAGGTAATAAGATCTGTAAATCCTACATGTAGGCCGAGAGTATAGGCATGTTGGACAGTAGTTCGTCAGAGCAAGTAATGTGAAAAATTGAACATACATATAATGATTGTACAGATGGTTTGGTTACGCATTTCACAATCTGAAATACTTTATTTCAAGTATTTTGATTGGCCAGGTTAAAAATGTAAGCCGCGACTTCCTTGATTTTCCTTGATTTTCCACGAACAACAGCAGAAATCACAGCGACAAATGCAGCAGCTGCGGAGCCAGAGACCCCTGGCATGTGCAGTGTTACAGCAACTAAGGACGCAAGGAAAGGAAGAGTCTAGCATCATGATAGCTAACATAGAGGCAGAGCTGGGCAGCGCTACTTTGAAATGTAGCGGCGCTACCGCTACCGCTACATGCTCTAAATGTAGCGGGCGCTACCGCTACACCCACTAGATTGTAGCGAGCGCTACCGCTACCGCTACAGTAAAATGTAGCGCTGCTACATTAGCCTCTACAATGGCCAAAATTATTGGAAATCTCTAAATATTTATTGTTCTGCTATTGGGATTTACTCATAAACATTTAATGATAATTAAACATTTTCAAAGCATATCAATGCAACTGTTTTGCAATTAACCTAACCGAACTAGTACGGGTTAGATACGGTAAATAAAAGTTACAGTTATTTTTATGTTTTACCTTCCCTACATGGATGTCTACTTTAATCTACCAGTCTAAAAAATTATCCACATATACATATAAAAATCAGTCTTTTATTTGTATATATTTGTGGATTATTTTTGAGATTGGTAGATTAAAGTAGACATCCATGTAGGGAAGGTGAAACATAAAAATAACTGTGTAAAACTAACTGTAAGCAAACTGAAACATGAAAAAATACCTGTAAGTGGTACTGGTAACAACTTAACAAGTAACAACTAACATGTTGACACTAGTACCAGACTGAGGTTGACAACAGTACACCGAAATATTTCGTACAGTTTTATTCTGTTATTTTTATTATGTATGTATCATGCTGGATTTTAAATAATATTTAATACTATTAAGTAAAATCTAAAGGCTTTATATATAAATGTAGCGGTAGCGCTGTAGCGGCAAAACCTCGTATCGCTACTCAAATATGTAGTGGCGCTACCGCTACCGCTACATTGCCTTCAATGTATCGCCGCTACCGCTACTGAAAATGTAGCGGCCGCTACATGTAGCGCGCTACTGCCCACCTCTGCTAGCTGGGTGGGCTACTGCCCACCTCTGCGAACAGACTGGGAGGCCATTGGGAATGAACTCCTTGAAATTGACTGAAGATCTGAGTTCCTGGAATTATACGCCGAAACAATGTACAACAAACTGCGAAGTATTACTGCACGAATGCGTGCGTCACACGCCGGGAAAAACGACTCCCAAACGCCACATAATTCCGAAGGACAGACGGATCCTCATGAGAAAACGAGCGAGCTTGAACAACCAGATAACGGCCGCCTCCAGGAATATATAGAGGGGCGGAGGCTGGAACATCTAAAGGTTAAAATTAAGGAAACTGAACGACAGTTGCAGGACTCACACGAGGCCGAGCAGCAAATTGCAGTGGCGCAAGTGGTGTCTGCCATTCGAGAGAATCCCAAATATTTCTACAAATATGCCCGCCCACAGGCCAAAATCAGAGCCTCAGTGGGGCCTCTGAAAAATAACGATGTCCTTGTTGGAGACGACCAGGGCATGTGCGAACTTCTGGGAGCTCAAATTGAAAAAGTATTCAGTGAACCCCGATACTCAAGACAGGAGAATGAAATTGGAGTCATTTAAGAATTTCCAGTGGAGAGGGAGCTGATGAACATTGAGTTTGAAACACCGGATCTAGAGAGGAGTATCCATAAATTAGCTACGTACTCGGCTCCCGGGCCAGATGGGGTCCCTGCAGTATTACTGAAAAAATGTGTCGGTGCACTAAATGTCCCTCTGACTTTGCTCTGGAAAACATCATTGAGAGAAGGAAATGTTCCAAGTGACCTAAAATTAGGGCAAATTACCAAAATTATCTACAAAGGAGGTGCAAGAGACAAACCCCAAAATTACAGGCCGGTTACATTAACATCACACGTAATCAAAGTATTTGAGAAGGTTGTTGCCATAAGTTTGGTGCAGTACATGGAAGACGCTGACCTTTTCAACAGAAGGCAACACGGTTTTAGACGAAATCGTTCCTGTTTGTCTCAGTTACTGGAGCATTACCACCAAATCCTGGCCATGCTGGAGGAGGGCCGGGGCCGGGGTGGACTTGGTGTATTTGGACTTCGCAAAAGCGTTTGAGAAAGTTGACCATGGAGTGCTCTTCAGAAAATTAAGACTGCTGGGAGTCGGAGGTGAATTGCTGGCATGGATCCACAGCTTCCTAACAGAAAGACTACAAGCTGTCGTTGTAGGAGGCTCGAGATCGAGCGAGGCTAGGGTGAAGAGTGGAGTACCACAGGGAACGGTACCCGGCCCAATCCTCTTCCTCATTCACATCACCGACATAGATGTGGCTGTGAACCACGCCACTGCATCGTTATTCGCGGACGACACCAGGATACTAATGACCATAACGGACAGGTGGGACTGCGAGATGTTGCAAGAAGACCTCTCTGCTATATATGACTGGGCCCAAGCGAACAACATGCAGTTCAACGGGATTAAGTTTGAGATTCTGAGATGCAGAGGTAGCGGAAGAGCTGGTATGTAGCACCGCTACCTAGCACCTGACAACTCGGAAATCGAAGAGAAACAACTTGTTCGTGATCTAGGAGTGTTGATTAAGTTAATTAATTAGGAGTTAATTAAGTCAATTTTGGTGATCACGTAACAAACGGCAATAACCGCAAGAGGTAGGCGACAGATGGGGTGGATCTGGCTGACGTTCAGAACAAGGGAAGCGGAACCGATGATCACACTCTATAGAGCCCTTGTAATACCAATTCTCGAATACTGCTGCCAGCTCTGGACCCGGTTCACACTCGGCGCAGTGCGGCAACGGGAAGGTGTCCAGCGAACCTTCACTTCCAGGATCAGAGGGATGAAAGAGTTGAACTACTGGGAGAGGTTGAGGCGCCTGGGTCTGTACTCACCGCAGAAGAGGAGTCATTCAAGACTTCACTTTGTGTCATTCTGTACACATGGAAAATGATAACCGGAATGGTGCCAAACTTCGAGAGCGAGACCTCCAGGATTGAGACATATCACGAGAGAAGGGGAGACTGTGCAAGATCCCACCACTACGTAACAGATCCGCAGTCAGATTTCAATCCCTGCGGGAAGAATCACTTTCCGTGGCAGGGCCAAGGCTGTTCAACGTCCTACCAAAGGATCTAAGAGAGAGGGAGTTCACCCTGAAGGCCTTCAAGAGACAACTGGACGTGTTTCTGAGTACAATCCCAGATCGACCTCCGCTGCAACACTACCAGCGGCGAGAAGCAAGCAACAGCATCGTGCATCAGGTGGCCCTAATGAGGGCGGATGAACGATAATCAGAGGCGGCGATCCACCGTGGTCTGGGACTGCTACGTCCCAAACAAGTACCAAGATTTATGAGCGGGAAGGCGATGAGCCTCCTCTCTCAAATTTCGCAGTTCTTAAGCAGTGCAGTGCCGGAAAAAAAACGCTTAAATTTATTCATACTAATAGGTCCATAGAAGAAAATGTTCTCAACTTGAAGATGTAAGTCCAGTGATAACAAACGACGACCCAGAAAGTAATAAATAGGGGGTTCCATGGTCAGGTACTCGAAACTCAATACTGTAAATTTCCCCAACGTTTATTTTATTGACAAGCTGAACTTGCAGACAAGATTGAATGGAAGTGATGAACTGTTGTCGCTGTTAAGCGCAAAATTTATTCTAAAATTTTTTACACTGTCACTGTCAAATTTTTACACTGGACACTGTCAAGTTCATTTAAATCCATTCCGGCAGACGACCACAGTACGGCCGCTGGCTGTTGACGGTACACAATTGTACGTACGACTTGTTTACCGGAAGCAGGACGTGCTTGGAAGTTTTCACGGTCTTCTGAGCTTGCAATTTGATAGAATATTAGTTAATAAGACTTACTGATTCTTGGAAGCCGCCCAAGGAGAAAAGACCATAGTCTAGTCCTTCAAGCGCACATCCCAGGAACACTTGAATGTCCGGGACGGTTGGCTCATCTGGATTGTGGACATTCAGCAAATACGATGCGCAGGCACCAGTAGGAACACTCAACGGACCTGGGAAAGATAGCTTGTAGAGTTAGTATCTCGTATACGAGCGTGAACATACACCGCACAGAGTTGAACGTTCTATGAGCGCGCTTTTATAATTAAGAAAATTTAATTCTGAACTACAGGGGCTTGATGCGCGTAAGGCCTCAGTTTAGTCCATTAGTCCTCACCATTGTTCAAAAAAAGGTGACAAAAGCTGCCCGCGCAACTATCGCCCTGTCAGTTTGACAAGTGTCGTTTGCAAGGTAATGGAATCTGTTGTGAGGGATCGATTGATAGATCATTTGACTGCTAATAATCTCCTATCAGACTGTCAACATGGCTTTATTGCCGGGAGATCCTGCACCACTAACCTCTTGTCGACTCTGAACGAATGGAC